GTGTCTGTGTTGACACTACATTACATGTCACTTGTTAGACGCTTTTATCCAAAGCGACTTACATACTCAATACTGTGGGCAATCCCCACAGGAGCAATTTGGGATGAAGTGAAGTGTCTTGCCCAGGGACACAACGACATGCTGACTGCAGTGGGGTTTGAACCTGTGACCGAACACCAACACACAACCCACTGCACCACACGCCTCCCATTCCCCTTATTGTGGAATAAGGGGAATGCAGAGACAGACTACAAGTGTCTTAGGTTCAAGTTAGATAACTAATTTCTGGGTTAGTGTTCATGACTTAATGTTTATGTCATCTTAATGGTTAATCTCAAAGCACACACATTTTCCATTCTTTCCAATAGTTTAAAATAGTTTTATTCCACTGTTTAATAACCTGTTCACTACAAACATGACACTTGTACAAATTAAATAACATTTCTGTGAACTGATATTTGTTTAGTGAGCTTATTAGAGGATGTTCCCTGAAAGATTGTAAAATGTCAATGAAGATGTCAGACTTACTATATTTGTTAATAATTACATTACATACAATACATGGAATGTGTGTGTTCCAAGTGAATCTGCGGCCCCCTCGTGGCCAGTACACACATTATGTGGCCCCCACCACCATCCAAGTTGCCCATCCCTGTACTAGTCTCAAACAGAAGCCATTCTTAATTGTTGTTGGGTTAATTTAGCACTCTAGAAATTATTTGTTACCACAAACAGTAACACTACTAGCTAATTCACACAATGCGCAATTGTCAAATGTCATGGCAGTAGAGAGAGAATCCAAATGAAGACACTGCCATTGCTTGTTTTGCAAGCGTCTTTTGTTAATGCGTAAACAGTAGCAACAGTAGTCTCAACAGCAAATATCTACAAACCCCGGCCCATGGCTATCAGAAGCTGGCCTTAAAAACTCCCAATGTTCTAACTCACTTTGTACTCACAAGTTGTTGGCGTCTTGATGGTATCGCAGAGGGAACTTGAATCATATACGGCTCTTTATTGACAGGTCTTGTAGCCTTTTTTAGAAATTCAAGTCCAACATAATTTTCCCTCCACTTGTGTCGATTCAGTTTCCCAGAAACTGCACGCTCATCAAGGGGGGCTGACGCAAAACAACAGTCTGACCTCCTTAAACTGAGGATGATATTAAGACTGGAGAGTTTATTTATTTATCTAGTACATTTACAAATTGGACTACCGGTACTTGTAATGGGACCAACAATGGGACCAACAACCATGCCTGTTTTTTGTTGTACGTTAGGACTGATGTAGAAAATTCGTTTTTATATGAAAGTTTGTTTTCTCAACCAACAGCCCAAAATACATTCCGTTTTCCCATAATACATTTGCCAGATGTTTAATTACCACCTTTCTCACAGGTGAGGCTGTCAGTTCAGTTCTTTACTGTGCTAAATTATAATTTTTGTTATGCACTGCAAATCCTTATTTTCTTTCCAAATGAACATTAGCACATTTCTGGTGCCAGATAAGTAGGGATGCCCCGGTTCAATCTCAAACATCAGTATCGGGTCGATCAAGGCATTTTCTAACTGATTGGTATCGGCTTCATTCAGCTATCCAGCCTGATCCAATCCTTTGTTTTACGTAGGCTGTCATTACATTACATTTAGCTGACGCTTTTATCCAAAGCGACTTACAATAAGTGCATTCGACCAGGAAGATACCTGTACAACCTTGAAGAAAACAGAATCATATAAGTACATCAGGTTTCATAGAGCAGTCACACAGCTGTTTTCACTTTTGAAGCTTTAAACGCTGCGTGGCCAAACAGCATACACCATAAAATTGTCTAAAAGCATCTACATGCACGCATTTATTTTCAACCCTGTGTAAAAATCTTTTCTTGCTTTCATGTTTGAAAGTTACATGAAGAAAGGCAAAGCCAATTAGAATAAGTAAATCGTTAATCTTCCTCAAAAGATTTACAGTCGATACAAATATACACTCAACATAACACAGTTCATTCAGGTTACTAAGGCAGACTCTGCAACCAGAACAACAGACACTGTAGGGCACTTTTTTGGAGGGAGAGATTCTGGAAAGGTTAAGGAGAAGGTTTGCTATTTGGTTTTATACTTTATTTTGTAATAAATGAAGGAACACCTTGGATGCCGGATTTTCTTGGGTCAATATACAGCTATTCAAAAGTCAAGCTGGATGATTTGAATGAGTTAATGTAATAAAAGTGTGCGATGTGCAGCAGTATTATAAACAAATAGAAGCATTGGATATGGACTTGAAATCAGTAGATGCTATCAGTGGCTAAGAAACTTGATTTGCAAATCCCTTTAAATAACCGTTATAGTGCCTACTGTAATTATGTCAGTTGTGATAAAGTACTTTTTCGAAAAGGTGTCACTTTCTTGCAGGGTGTTAAACACATTTTTAGATACTCTCTGAAAGTGACGTGCAAAAGGAAGTCATTAGTCTCCTGAAAATGGCTAATGAATGATTACATTTTACCTGCCACTCAAAATATTACCTTTGGTATTTTTTTGTTGGTGAGTGATGTCTATCTACTGGCAACTTACATATTTTAGCATTTATCTGCAAAATGGTGCGAATATTTCAACACAAAATGCTCATTTTAACTTAAATAAAATCATGAATGACATAGATTAGTACACTAGTATTAGTTTTGAAATGCGTGTGTTGTTATGTGCTGCTTGAAAAACAAGCTTACATGGACATTTGGTTGATCATGTTTACAGTAAATATAATGGCGTGTTAATGCTCTACTCTTATCACAAAGCTTTTTGGAGAGAAACCGGAGAGCAGTAAAGAAATGGGATATCACTCTTTTCATTTCTGAAAATGGGCCAGTCAGGCATAAAGTTCAAGGCTGAATTTCTTTCCCAGCCCTCGGCACTCACGGACACACACACACAAGCAGACAAACTGCTCACAACTACTATACTTTTCCCCTAGAGTTAGTTGTACATATAAAGACGATATGTGAGATTGAGCATAATGTTCTCCAATTTCAGTCTACTTTTCTATTTGCCACTCAACATCTCCTGATACACACACAGATGGGATAATCTCAACTGCGATGTGATTCAAAGGCTCTAAATAAGAATCACAGCTAGCCCGGTTTCTCTCTCTCTCTTTGAACAGTTACTTTGAGAAGCAGAAAGCAGAGTGGCAGAAGGAGCCGCACGAGCCCGCCATCCCAGAATCCCTCGCCGCCGCTGCAGCAGCAGCACAGCAGCTTCAGGTCTCCAGGAAGCAAGATGCACGCCAGACGGCCACCTTCAGACAGCAACCCCCCCCCATGAAGGTAACACTCCTACTGAAAAACTAAAATGGCTGCAACTGTGAAAGAAGCCACTTTTTCAAGTTTGATATTGAAAAACACTATCAATGTTCTATATGTAACTGTTCTTAGTTGTACAATATATATTAAGAAAATTACCGTACTTAAATATGACCAATCAAGACGAATCACACTACTGTCCACAGGGCAGGTCTCAAGGCCACCAGTGGTTTCATGACATCTCTAAAAACACACTGCAAGACATTCAAACAGGCATGGTTTTTGATAAATTGATCAAGCATTGTGTATTTTAATAGTTGCTTTCTCAAAATCTCCCGACTGACAGCCGCTCTCCAGGCACACAGATGCAATGCATTGTGGGGCAGTAGAAATGGCGCAGTTAGCTAAGTAGAAGACATCATGGCATTTCTTGCATACAAAAAATCCACACACACTATTAAATGTCAATCAACTAGATACATTATCCTTCTTGTAAATTGTACGTTATTATGCAAACAGTCATAGTTTACAATCTTAAATCGCTAATCAAGTTAACTTTTTGACAACGAAAAGTGTCTGCACTATGCTCTGCACCTCGTAGTGAGTGAGTCATACGTTGTAATCACCTGAAGGCAGCTTTAGTCAGACGCCCAGCGCAACCACCTGACTAAGTGGGTTATCTCTTCAACACGGCAAGGACATAATAGGGAGTGATAGGTCTTAATGTCTGTCCCCCCCTCTCTCCAGGCTTGTTTGTCCTGCCACCAGCAGATTCATCGTAATGCCCCCATCTGTCCATTGTGCAAGGCCAAGAGCCGCTCCCGCAACCCAAAGAAGCCCAAGAGGAAGCCCGACGAGTAGATCCTACCCTACCTTCAGCCTCAGTTTAACGGGACCTGGTCTGAAACACTGATCCAAGATCAGCCATGTACTTCACAATATATGACTGAAATAACAGATCTATGCTTCAGGGCAACTTCCACAAACAGTCCTCTCTTAAACAAGTCGTCTTAGTACCTTTTTCATAAACTGTCAACTGAAATTGATGGAGGATCTGGTGATGTCATTCTGTTTGTTTTAACCGTGCTTTGGATGTGTTTATATGTAATTGTATGACTTCTATAGTAGGTTTAATAACCCCTAACCATGTAGCTGCAATAATGCAAAAATGAAACTTGACAAAATGCAGACCTTTTTTTCCCCATGTTGCCATTGTTCTTTGCCTTAGATATTGTACTGTATTTTCAAGTTTTTTAATGCATGTGTGCTTCCATGGCTGTCTGTCTTGTATTTGTTTGTGCCAATGAAAATGTTGAGTAGGCTTAATTAAAGTTAGATAAAACACAATGTTGTTTTAATGTTTACAGTGTTCAAGTGACAACTGGTGGGATAAGAAAAGAAAAAAACCCAGACTCATCCGCTCTGAAAAGTGTTGTGTGTTTAACTTTAATACAGTGATAAGAAAATAAATTGCTGTTTTGTATTAACCTTGTTACGATGTCCTCTTTTTTTACACTCAAAACAAAGGCTAGACATTTGTTTCTGATAGCGGTGTGAAAGTAAACACAGCTGTAACTGAGCAGTGAAGCCGAGGATCAGTATATGCATTAATGTTTTTCAGCCAAATGGGTTTTTATCCATTGTGTCAAATAAAGAGATAGGAATATGTTTGACTCCACCACAACATTGTCCCATCCATTGTATTAACACGGCGCCCATCATACTGCAGCTATCTGTCTGAAAAAGGACAGTGAGGTCTTGCTAAATGAGTTCCTGTAGCGTTTTTGTCAGGGTAACCCCTCATTTCATCTGTTGCCAGGGCAACTCCACGTTCCTTAGCCGTTGCTAGGCAACCCCAGGTTGCTGTGACCCGCACATCACCACTTCAGTAGTTCCTTCCCAAATCCAGTGAAGGGCTTTGGGAGACATTGCACACTCCTGTAACATAAATAATTGTTTCAGTTTTGTGAATAATTCATACGGTCTGTCAAAGTGAAAAAGATATAAGTTGGCAGTTTTTGTTTCTAAGAGTTTGATCAACACTTACTCCATAGCTCAAGTGTGTGTTTAGTCTGCCCTTCAGTGTTTGGAGCTTTAGTTGTGTCTTCTTCCTCCCGATAAAACTTCTCAAGGCCAGAGAAGCCCGTTCCTGCTCACACACTCTGCAGGCAGCCGGATCATGGAGCTCCACCTCTGCAGCCTGACACACAAGATAAACATTAAAGACGACAAAACTGAGCATTTTCCTATCCCGATAACACACCCACAAGGCAAAAGTTAGTCATAGAGAGGGGAGTCACCTGACCCGTCTCATGTCTTCCTTGACAATTTTGAGCCTCAGCATTGAGAGTATTTGAGGGGGGACGGTGTGGATTTCAGGACCTTGACTTTTGAGATATTTGGGGGAGGTTCGGTCTCTCCCTCGACACTCTGGGAGAGGGAGGTTACATTCCCCATCATCTCTAAACTGGTCCGCGGATACTTGTCTCCCACATGCGGTCATCTCCGTTCCCCTGGCTCCTTTGTGTCTCCCCCTCTCCTCCGCAGAGAGCCGGGGGTGCTGCTGCTGGTTTCGGACAAGAGCAATCATTCTTCTGCACAGCGCTTCCCACTTCTCCTCCTCCATTTTGTGAAAAATACAGAGCGCGGGAGTCACACCGTGACGTACGCTAACGTTATTATAGTGACGTAACTTAAGCGTGTTTGTGTGGAGGGGAGATAAACCCTATTACAAAATCGATAGCTTACCAACACCAGACATTTTGGTAAAATATTAACCCACTTGAACCAAAGGTCACTGCTCTCCCCTTTCACCAAGCGCTTGTTTACTGCCCTCTTCTTTTGCTGTTAGCTAGCTACAGCTGCACTTCCTGCCAACAGTGAACTACTAGCGCCACCTGCTGGCTGACAGAGGCATGTTTAAAGCCATTAAATCCAATGCCTTTAATTTATTTATGCATTTATTTGAAAATGAATATCTATTTTAAGTCATGAGTGGTAAACCAGAGGATTTACCTGGAAATATAAAGTGAAAAGAATCACATTTAAAAGTACCAAATAATGTCTGATACAAAATATAAAAAAGGCAATCTATGAGGAAAATCCTTAGACTGTCATTTTACATATTTATTGTTGTGCTATCATTTAAACCTCTTAATGTGTGTATATATTTGTACATATCTCTATGAGTATGTATTTATTTATACATATAAGTGGGTGTGTATGTACAGCATATATGGGCCATTCTACCGAATTGGACCAAAGTCAGGTTGGAAATGTTTTTGCATTTTGTATGTTTTTTTCCCAAAACTGTGTCCATATATATTTTTGTACCATATCTAAATTACACATATCTAGTAAAAGAACCGTACATTTTTATATCGTATTTTCAGACTGTATTGGAATGTTCTTCCTCTACCAAAAATGGTCACTACCGAAACATAATAAATACACTGTAGTAAAAAAGTATTATATTAACCTGTTAAGCTTGTTTTACCTTCCCTTCTCTAAATAGTTTTAACAAATATTTCTTGAGGGTTTTCACAATTAAATTAATAAAAGTGAATTTCTAATCAAATTTCAAAATTCATAAAAATCATAATACTGATCATATTGATTCCAGAGTTGATGATTGTTGAAATTGAACATACACTATTAAACCAATCAGCATCATATAATTTTAGTTGATAACTCAATACTTTATTAACACATCCAGTGTTTCGGTAGTGACCACAGTATTTTGTTCTCAAGGTTATCCCTCAACCTTATTGCTTCATTTTAACTCATAACGTGCCTTATGTTGAAGTGTGAATGTTTGAATACTGACCCAGAATCAGCACTTAGTAACAGAATGAAATAGAGGGGAATAAGGCTAGAATGCATGATCTGTTTGGTATTTTGAGCAAAAAACTTCATAGACATGTTTTTATATATATCTGAGACCTATAATATATGCCTAACCAAGGGTGTAACTTTGGTTTGAGAAGTGGGGGGGACACAAAACAGGGGGTCTTCCGCAATGAAAAAATGTCTCGATATAATTCCATTTCCTGCCTTTCTACAAATATATTAGGGACTTTGGTGTTAAAAAGTCCAAGAAAAATGTGTAGTGTATATAATGTTTTATTTAACTAGTTGTATTTGTTGGTGGACCTAACCTCCTCTAGAGGGGTCCGGGGCATGCACCCTGGGAAGATTGTTTTCTTTAAATTGAAGTTAAATGCATCAATCTGGTGCACTTTGAGGGCAAAATTAAAAGATTTATGGATACAGCTCTCAACACTCATGAAACAGAACTGTATATATTTAAATAATCAAAAAACCATTAGAATATGATCACAACCAATAACAAACATTTGATAAACTCCTCTCCTATCTTTATCTTACCTAGTCTGCATTCTTTCTTTTTATTTATGCATATTTTACTAATCACTCCCCTTTTAAACTGTGTTTTTTTATTTTTTACTGACCTATATTGGAATGATTTCTTAACTTATTTTTTACAACTATATTAGATGGACTTATTTGTTTACAAAGATGACCAAACCGTTTGACCAGTCTGACCAGTCTGAGATAACTTGGACTAAAGTTTACAATCTAATCACTCAGAGAGTCCTTTACCTCACTCTCTCTCTCTCTCTCTC